GCGGGGATAAGACACATGGAGGGGATGGGGAGATGAGACACATGGAGGGGCCGGGAGATGAGACACATGGAGGGGATGGGGAGATGAGACACATGTGTGGGTTGAGAGGAAATAAGACACAGAGGAACTGGGGAAGCAACAAAAGAGACAAACATGGGAAGGCATAGGCAGAGGCTTGGGAGATAGACACCAAGAGGGGCTGGGGGACACATGGAGACGCAGAGGGGCTGCGCAAGGAGCAAACGAGACAGACAGAGGAAGAGGCAAAAGGAGCAGGTAAAGGCTTGGGAGATAGACGCCCAGAGGAGTTGGGGGAACAGAAGAGACACAGAGGGTCTGGGGCGACACACATAGAGAGGCTTTGGAAGGGACAAAAGAGACAGACAGATGTTTGGAAGATAGATACCCAGAGGGTCTGGGTGAACACATGTCCATCCATTGTACAGCGCTAGAAATTTGCTGGCGCTACATAAATAATAAAATAAAAATAATAACATTAGAGACACAGCGGGACTGGGGAGACACATTGACACATAGAGGGTCTGGGGGGATATAGACAGATAGAGGGTCTGTGGGGGATATAGACACATAGAGGGTCTGGGGGACGCAGACACATAGAGGGTCTGGGGGGACATAGACACATAGAGGGTCTGGGGGGACATAGACACATAGAGGGTCTGGGGGATATAGACACATAGAGGGTCTGGGGGGACAGACACATAGAGGGTCTGGGGGAATATAGACAGGTAGAGGGTCTTGGGGGGATATAGACACATAGAGGGTCTGGGGGGATATAGACAGATAGAGGGTCTGGGGGATATAGACACATAGAGGGTCTGGGGGGACACAGACACACAGAGGGTCTGCGGGGGATATAGACACATAGAGGGTCTGGGGGGATGTAGACACATAGAGGGTCTGGGGGAACACAGACACATGGAGGGTCTGAGTGGACCCGTAGAGGAGCTGGGGGAGAAAGAAACAAGGTGCTCAGGGGAAGAGACACACCCTAATTAAACGTGCCACTCACATATGGTGATCAGTGGACCTGTGAATTTGTCTCTATGCTATGTATAAATTCTGGTCACTAAGAAGGGCTCCAAGTGCACAGCCCGCCTATATGGGTATCATCATAAGATAAACTCGGGCAGCCTCTAGCGCTAGAGCGGAGAAAAGATAGATCCCCAGCTGGGGATCTACCATTTGGCCATTCTTGCAGAGCTGTATTTGTGGGCAATGTTTGTGCATTTGCATGTGAGCATGCTGTTGTATACAGTATGTGTGTGCATGTAGGGTGTAGTATTTGTGTTTGAATGAAGGCTTGTGTTTCTCCATTTACAGATATACATACACATTAGCACACTGATACATGCACACAGCTGGACACATGCACAAACTGACACAGACTGGCGTATACACAGACACATACATAAACATACGTGCACACACAGAGATAAAAATCACTGGCCCATCCACACACAGAGATACACTTACACACACTGACACAGATAGGTATACACACTAAGATACACACAGACACACGGGTACACATGCAGGGGTGTATGTGTGTGCAGTGTTGGCGTAGGAATGCTGGGATGTATGCATTGCCACACAGATGCACACTTACACAAACACTGAGATACACACAGGAACACAGATACACATGCATTGGTGTATTTGTGTGCAGTGCTGGTGTTAGATCGCAGGGGTGTATTTGTGTGCAGTGTTGGTACTGGAATGATGGGATGTATGCATTGCCACACACATAGATACACACTTACACACACTGACACTCATATACACACACACAGGTACATATACACAGACATGCAGGTACAAATACAAACTGACACGCAGATACACAGACACAGGTATACATACACACAGATACACATAAACACTGACACAAACACAGTCAGATATAAACACTGACACAAACACAGCCAGATACATACACACAGATACACATGACACAAACACACACAGTAAGATACACACACAAACACACCAGATACACACACAGTCAGACACAAACACACGCACACGCACACACAGTCAGACACACACACACACGCACACACACACAGTCAGACACACACACACACACACATGCACAGGCACACAGTCATATCAATTTATATAGTTTAGCCATCCTCCTGTCTCCTTATCTTTACAGAAGGGTGGCTTCCCTGGGGTCCAGTGGGAGCTGGATGGCTGAGATTGATGGGAGTCTGGCTACCTGAGTCCCTCTTCTTCTTCTTAGTGTGTGCTTCCTCCTCCCCAGCGACACCTCCTCCCACCTCCCTTCCTCCCAGCAGGAGCACTCTTAAAGGGCCGGGGGCCCCTGATTACCTCCCTGCTGCAGCCCACCGGGAAATTTCTCAGTATCCTGGTGGGCTGTCCAGTCTTGGCTGTGGACAGGGGGCCCACGGGCCAGCTGCCCCATTTGCCCCTCGTTAAAGACGGCCCTGGTCAGATTGTGCATTTGTAGGGTGCATTAACGATAACTTTACGTGTTAAGAATCTATTCACATTGTATATTGGTTATGGTTGTTTGCAATCTGTTGAGTTGGTCAACCCTCTATTTAGTCGTAGGGTGTCTTCATTCAAGGGGTTCTGTGTGTTTATTTATGGCTAAGTGAATCCCCATAGCTGGGTTCCACATATTGTGTTGTGGGCGTTTTTGTTTTAGGTCGTAATTGGTTGGCTGAGAGGGTGGAGGATTAATTATCACTCTCTTGTACTGCCCGGGTTTGCGCCCGCAGGTGATGTGGTGATGGCCACTGGTGTGGGCCTGTGCTTCTGGTTGTTATAGTTTGTGTGCCCTGCCGGAGAGCCTGAGAGAGAAGCATAAGAGGGTAGGGAGTAGTGGGAGGAGAGTATAGTGGTAGAGAAAGCCTTGAGAAGAAAGGTTTACAGGAAGTCGACAGTACCACCTGGAAGCATGGCCACCTTTTGTACCAGTGGTCCCGCCCCCAAGGGAGGGCTGTAGGGTGGGGAGGAGGGTTAGGATGTGGGTCTGGTGTGTTTTTAAGTGTTGGGGGTGATTTTGTTTGGTGTCTGGCATAGTGGAGGAGTTTCTGAAGGGACATTAGTTTATCGTGTCGTTCTAATGGGCCCGTACCAAGGCAGGGAGGTGTCCCTGGTTAGCCATGGGTCCCAGAGTTTGTGGAAGGTTTTGTGTGTGTCGTGGAATGGGATGTAAGGCTGTCCATGTGTTGTGTTGTGTTGTAGCAGAACCCCTCTGGCTGTCCAACACATTTCCTTCATATTTTTTTATTTGAACATAAGAGGTTTTCATATGAACTTATTATAGAGACTTTCCTGTGAATATATGTTACCTTAATAGTATTTGTCCGGTTGTTTGGTAAAAAGACATACAAATCTGCATTGAACTACTGCATTCACCATCCGAACCAAAGTACCGAACAACCGGACCACCCTGATGTGAAGTGTGGCTGTAATTAACCCCCCTGTTCGTCCATTACATTCCCCTGGTTAAAAAGCACGAACGCTTTGCTTCAGTCCCTGGGTGGCTGCCATTTTGGCAGCCGAACACGTGGCGGCAGCCATCTTAACACACGAACAGCTGGTGTTTGGTTGTCGAGTGTCTGGAACTCAAATCGGACACTCGACTACCCGAACACCGCTAAGACCTCCAGGGCTCCAGAAACTAACGATTGAAACTCCCGAACGGCCCGCCGTTCAGTAGGATGAATCCCACAAACCAGGGGATTCCTCCGAATGCCAGCTCAACCCTGGATGGCATATATCTTCGGGACTTTTAATGCACGAACAGAGACCGACCGCAAGGCCAAAACTCATGGAACTGTTTTCGGCTACTTTGTCTGTGCGGTCGGTCAAATCTTTGCTTCCCCATGACTCCCGAACCCCTGGTGCAATCTGGGTGATTTTTTAATATGTTGCTCACCCAGATCAGGGCTACCAGGGGATACCACATTTAGGGGTGTATCTATCATATTTGGGGTACATCCAGAATTGGGGGAAAATGTTAATTATGTTAACTGTTAACCTGAGGGGAGGAGATGTGTGGGAGGTAACGTCTATGTGATTGGTTAATGTAGTAATTATTGTGGGTGTCTCCCTTGCAGCAGAGAACCACATAAAAGCAGGGGTTGTGGATACTCCCGATCCTGTGTGTCGTCCAGTTATTGGGAAAGGTGATGGGATATTACTGGATTGCCTTGCTGATTGTGCTTGTTATCCTATTGGATTTACTACTTGTTCCTGAGCCATTCTAGGATACCAGCGGAAATAGGCTGTGGGAAATCAGCTCTCCGCTACATGTGTCTTGTATATTTGGGGCTATAACTGCGTTTGTG